AAGCCCCTCCAGCCTCAGCAACTCAACTCCACAGTTTATTGCAATGGGTAGCAGGAAGCTAAGGCATGTCCAAGTTGCTGGTGATGTTGCAGGTGTGTTGATATAGGCAAATGTGTTCAAAATTTGAGTATATATATAAATATGAAATCAGTAATTGCATAAAATGAAGCTATGGTGACTCATATCAGAGGAGAATACAGCACAAAAGCTGCTCACAAGTAAGTATTTCTATAGTGCAACAGAAAAATATATTTTTTATATATATACACACACACACATATATAGATAGATATATGTTACAGAGTTAGAAGACAGTTTACAAACTACTGTACTGATCCGTCTCATTTGGTACTTGTATCTTATCCAGGACATCAGCTGTTACAGCATCACCTTGAAGTGAAATAGAGTTGAAAACACTGTCACGGGGGAAAACTTCCACACCTTCAGAGAGAAAGAGACAGACTCATTCTGACCACTGAGACAGTTCAATGAAGCTAACAACATGATTACTTATACTTCCAGGACATAACCTGGTCTCTTGTGTGATTTAGGAAGGAATCTTTTCTTGTATAGGCGAGAAACTGTCATTCCTGGAAGCAAATACTAAGGTCAGTAGCACAGCGGTGGACTTGCTGCCTTTGCTCAGGCATCGACAGTGGTTATGTAGGCACACAGGGAAGCTTTATACAATTGCTTGCATGCAACCCCAGACAATATAACTCTCCTGCAATGAACTGGAATCCCGTCCAACATACTGCAGTCAAGTCGCTTCACAGAAAGTGCTGGTGAATCTTCAGCTGCACAGAAGTGAAAGGTGCCACTTAACAACCCACGCTGCCAACTCAGGCTAGGATGGCTTTACAGGCCTCACAGTAGCTATATCACGAGGCTACATACATAGTTGTTATAGTCTATACTCCAGTTGCTCCTGAAGCTCCTACAATGCAAAGGTTTGAACTCCTCGTTGCACCAGCATCAGGTCTAGGTGCTGAGGAGGGGTAGGAACACAGAACTCTCCAGTGCAGCAGCAGCCCCAGGAAGCGATGGCTTTTACAGGAGGTGCAAGAGCCAAGTGGCTGCTTTGTGAACAGAATACAAGAGACTACGGTTTTATTTATTTTAGCTGGATAGTATTATTCAGTTGAATGGCTATAAAATGCTTTTTTTATTTAATAAGCTCGAGCATCATCTTTAATTCTAAGTAGATATGCTAACATTAATCCATGTAAGCCAGCCCGATCATTTTAATAAACCCGTGTTTGAGAAGACTTTCTGGGACCTCTGGAAAAGATGAAGTATTCAATTAGGGGAAAAAAGAAAAAAAAATGCTTCTTTCTATAAATGAAAATATGCATCATGTAAACAAAGTGATTAAATTTTGTATACTCAACTATTATATAATAGTCTTGAATTTTTTGCTGTAGGTTAGTATAAGTGAACAGCCGTTAACAACTCACTATTTGAGGAAAAAACAATATTTAAGAGCTTAGTACATCCCAAATACAGAACTAGTGACAGGGCTCAAAAAGAAAAAAAAAATGAAAAGAAAGAAAAAAAGTCTTATCTAACTTGATTTCCACTGAGGGATAAAGCTAGGAGCACAGTAATAGCAAGAGAGAGTTGCCTTCCCCTGAGAGCCTAGACACATACAATGGAAAATCTACCACTAAGAAAAGGAGAGAGAGAGAAAAAAAAAAAAAAAAAAAAAAGAGAGAGAGAAAGAGAGGGAGACACATTAACCTCTATTTCCAGAAATTTCTCCTAAGAACTTTTTTTTCCTGCAAGTCCAGTAGACCTCCACCAGCTGGACCCTAGCTCCCTGTGGTTGAGCCCCACGCAACTGGGGCCCTGTGTGCAGGGCTTCCTCTGCATGAGCAGGCAGAAGTACCCGGATTCGCTCTGTTGCCTTTAGCATAAGCTCCCTGTACCCCTCACCCAAATAGGATTTCAGAGTCGCAGATGCCCAAATTCCCCTCTCAGTGACCACTGGTGACTCACCAGACCCTTCTTAATGTAGGTTCCCAAGGGCCACCAACAGGTGATCTGAATTTCCAGCCCTGTTCTTCAGCAATACATAACAGATGCACAGGGCTCAAATCAGTTACCTGAGCATAGGCATCTAGTCACCTATAGGACATCCAGGACACCCCTGGCAGATACGACACAGATAGCTCACGTGCTGCTGCAGCAGCGGGTGGATACATGGGGAAACGAGGGCATCCTCAATGGCACTAATGCATGTGCACTTAAGCAACTGAACTGAGCTTATGGCACTGATGAGGATTCAATAAAAAACAACAAAAATCCTTTATGTTAGTTAACATTTAAAAAAAAAACAGACAAAATAATATTTATGTGCATTCGCCTGGCTCAGCTTCTTCCCATCTCAGCGCATCCTTTGGCTTCACCCCCACACATGGCTTTCCCGACTCGCAGCATTTCTCCCCATCTCCTCTGCAGGCAGCTTCCCCTCCTTTTGGCTGGCATTTAGAAAGGGACCACACTGATAGAAGGTGTTTTCCTGTATTCCTCTCCGCTGTGAGAAACCGCTCGCGCCTTTGAATTTCCCAATTAGCAAGTCTCCTTCTAACCCCATTCCTCAGGCAAGCAATGTCCTTCTCTCCATGCTGCGAATCTCCCTGCCTGGAGCTCAGGCTAAACAGAACTAGTTTATCCCAGCTACTAGCCCTCTCTGCACAAGTGAAAATTAACAGCCTTCACTAATTAGCCCAGCATCAGGTCCCTGAATCCTATGAGGCTTTGTCTCAGTAAAGGTAGACGACAGGGAAGGCAGCTGCACCTCACATTATAAAAAAGCTTTGAGCCTGACCTACAGATACATGGACCCTGACATCAAATCAAATTCAGATTTGTACACAGCCAAATCCCCCAAATTGCTAACGTTTCATGAAATAAGCTAGTCTAATTATAAATGTCAACTACAGATTGTATTTTGTGCTCATGCGAATACCCAACTCCCTACTAAATGTCATTCAACCACTTTTAGAAACATTCATATTCAAAATTATTCAGGTCTTTAGAAGTGCCTCAGTGACAGGGGAACTTGTGCTTTTATGTCAGGTGCCACCGACAACCTGAACTACAACCATCATTAGACTCTCTATTTTGTAATTACATGTGGTAATGGGCCCATTTCCTGAAAAGTTTCTAGGTAGCCCCCAAATTGCATTGAAGGTAGCAGGGCTCTGGTGCACAGAGAAGCCTCACAAAAGAAAACAGTGTGAACCATTTTTTTTTCCCTGATATTTAAAATAAAGATAATTGTCAACTATAGCCCATTTGCACATGCTGAACCTGCGGAAGCATTTGTTCTATTCTTTACCATCTCTTTAAGAAATAAAGACAGATATTGGCAAACACAACCAAGTTAGCACCCCTTTCCCAAAACAAACAAACAAAACCTCATTTTGACATTTAACAGGCTGCACTGTCCTTTATCAGGAAAATCTTTTTGATCTGCTTGTACAAGTCTCTTATTATGGTGTCCTGCTCCATGCCTGAGGTTCCCAGGTACAAGAAAACAAGAATCCTGACTGGAGACACCCCACCAAAAGCCATTTTTTCCCTGCATTTAGCAGGCACAACGCTCACTGGTGACTCAGTAGTGACACATGCAAGTAGTGACTTCAGAAGGAACAGACTCTGATCCTGGGTTATGAAAATGCCCAACATCAAAAATAACCCACTTGGATTGCATAAAAGATCCAAAAGCAATCTTTTTTTTTTTTTTTTTTTTTTTTTAAGCTAACATAGTGCTGCACTTAGAGCAGGGCCCTCAACATAAGGCCAGATGATTTAGAAACGACAGAAAATACTTGAAGTTCATTAAATACTCTTAGGACATAAGAGCATAACCCAAAGAACAGATGTCGCTACACAAGGCATCTTTTTTTTAAAAAATCATAATGCCTATTAAATAGGAGGCTCCTTCTGGGCAATAAATTATATGGCTATTTAATACCAGGAAAAGAAAGTAATTCCACTGAATCAAGATCCCAGTAGTCATCCTAAGAGTCAAAAGGAAACACACAAAACCCCTCACAAGAGGCAAGAAACTCAACTGACTACTTGAAAAAGGTTTTTTATTAAGTTTTAGATTGCCAGACAGCTTAATTCTTCATTTTAAACCACAAAAATCTAGCATCAGCATAAAGGTTGAATATTATTTAGTAATTCTTATGTTGATTTATTTACATGGTATATATGGCTCAATTGTTTTACTGATTTGGTACCACCCTTCAAAACCACAGCTGGACCTTCAAAACACACTTAAAAAAAAAAAAAAAGGCTTAAAGTATCTTTTTGTTCTTATGTTATTAGATATACACACTAAGCTTTTTTAAAAAGGTCCTTCAGGAACCCAGGCCTGTTCTTCAAAATTCCCCAGATCTTCAAAATTCCCAAGAAATTTAACAACAACAACAACAAAAAAGCTAGCACTCACTGAGATCTCTAGGAAAAAGAGGACAGCTTTAAGACAAACACTGATTTGACAATTGTAAAAATCTATGCAAGTCCCATGAAACCATTCGAATTACCATGGATTTACCATAAAACATCTATTTCATCGCTACAATGGTGTGACTGATCTCAAAATGCTCAAAATCAGAACATATACTGGAAAAATACAAAGCTCGTCTAAAAATTTGACTTTTTGTTCCTGCTAAATGACTGTTCCTGGTGAGAGAACGCATTGTTTACAGCTATTGACACCAGCTAGCTGGAACAAATCCCCTCTACTGAGAGTCAGTAATTATAACCAAAATAACTAAACTGGAACATGCCAGACCCCAGAGAAAATAACACTGATGTTGTCAGGTTAGCTTTGCTCCCCAATGTGTGACAATGTTATTCTAAAGATGGAAATCACTGTTTTATTTTAAAAAGAAACAGGAACAGCAACAGAATTAAAATCAACTTATATTGTTTCATAAATTGGTACATAACAAAGTCTGATTCTTGTATGCTCAACACTTTACCTGTTCTTGTATACTGCTTCACCAGGCAGCTTTTCTTCCATTGAAACTATTTCCAGAATGAACAGTCCAACTCATTATTCCATGTTTCAGTTAGAACATTCATGTCTTAAGCCCACATTATTCTCCTCTCTTCCTCTACAAACCCACAACAACCTACAAAGGGGGGTTAAAATGCTTGGAGCAGGAAGCATGACAAACTACAAAACTAGAAACACCTGGATTACTCATTATCACTGTGAGAGTTCTAGCTATATCTTGTTATCAAAAAAAACCCCATATTTCTAAAGCAGAAGTTTAATAATTGTTCCTGCAAGAATAAAAACCAGCAGCACGCACGTCAAAGAGAGGTGAAAAGGTTTAGAGTACTGATTGATGATTATAAAATTAACTGGCTGCCTAGAAACATTAACTAAACGCAGCTGCTGGTAGCAAAAACCATTCCGGCTATGTGAAAACAGACACTAAAATGACTAAACAGAGATCAGAAGTGACCTTGCTGTGCAACAACAGATTGATGTGCATACTTTACTACATTTTATAATTGGAGTTTGGGTGGTTTTTTTCTTTCTTTTTTTTCTTTCTTTTTTTTTTTTTTTTAGTAAATTATCAGCGAAAAATGACTAACGGTGACCTCTAGCGGACATACTGTACATGCCATAAGCACAAGAGATCCAGCAGAGCGCGGCTCAGCGAGAAACGTGGACGCGATTCTTACCCCTAAACCTAAAGAGGTTTTTTTGGGGAAGGATGACAGATATGGTTAAAATGTCAGTACTTATCCAAATTCTCCTTTAAAACAAACACTGCTATTTATTTATTTGACAATATGACGATTATCCATTTTTTTTAATACACCTAACTGCCTTGCCAACCTCAGCTAAGTAACATGGCAGCAACAACGACAAAAGCGATAAACTGTACAAACAAATACATATCTGTAGAGGAGCGAGGGACGGGGATGCCAAGACGCCGTTTTAGCCTGGGTGTCCCTTGGGAGACCCGGTGCTCCGCTGGGGACAACCCCTTGCCTTGCTTTTGGAAAGGGCTCCTCACCTGCCCTTCCCCGCGGGCGGCTGCAGAAGGTGGCTGCTGCATTTGCGCCTCGCTGAACGGCAGCGCTCACCTCGGGCCGTTTTGCCCCACGCTGCTCCAGTGAGCCTAGAAAACACCGCTGTTGTACGTAGGGTAAGAGGGAACAGGAAGGAGGCGGCAGCGGGAACGGGGAGCTCCCCGGGCAGCCCCGCGTTGGCGCCGCGCGGGGCTCCCAGCGGCGGGCGCTGACCCCGGCGCGGGGGGACAGCGACGGGCGCGGGCCGGCGACCCGGCAGCTCGGAGGGAGCCCCGGCGCTTCCAGCCGTTCCGGCTCCCGGTAGAAGGGAGCGGGGAGCAGTGTCCCCGCGGCGGGGGACGCGCTCCGTCCCCGCCGCTCCGCCCGCCCGCCCGCCCGCGCGCGGCTCCAGGCGACGAAGTTTCGACCGAAGACGCGGCGCGAACAGAACTTTTTATTATTATTGTCATTATTATTATTATTTTGGGGGACAACTTGGCCGAAGCCTGCGTGCGTGCGGCGGCTTTTGCCGGGGGGCAGCGCTGCCTCGCCGAGCCCCCAGCCCGCCGCGGCGAAGCCCTTTGCCGGCAGGGCCCGAGGGAGCCCGGGGCTGCGGAGGAGGAGGAGGAGGAGGAGGAAGGCGACAGCGGCGCAGCCCCGCTCCGCCATGTGCGCGGGCGGGGGAGGGGGCGTGTCCCACGTCCCGCGCCCGCCTCCCGCCCGCCCGCGAGCCGGCACCGGCACCGGGCGGAGCGGAGCCCCCGGCCCCGCCATGCCCGCCCGCCGCCGCTGAGAGCGCGCCCCGCAGCCGCGGCAGGGCGGGCGGGCGGCCGGGGGCCGAGCCGGACCGGACCGCGCCGAGCCGAACCGGACTGAGCCGAGCCGCGCCGCGCCGAGCCGGGGCAGCCCGTCCCGTCCCCTCCTCCGCGACGCCCGCGCCATGAACTTTGGCAGGGGCCCCTCGGTGGTGTTGAACGTCGGGGGCACCCGCTACTCCTTCTCGCGGGAGGTGCTCAAGGATTTCCCGCTGCGGCGGGTGAGCCGCCTGCACGGCTGCCGCTCCGAGCAGGACGTGCTCGAGGTGTGCGACGACTACGACCGCGAGCGCAACGAGTTCTTCTTCGACCGGCACGCCGAGGCCTTCGGCTTCATCATGCTCTACGTGCGCCACGGCCACCTGCGCTTCGTGCCGCACATGTGCGAGCTCTCCTTCTACAACGAGCTCGTCTACTGGGGGCTCGAGGGCTCGCACCTCGACTACTGCTGCCAGCGGCGCCTGGACGAGCGCATGTCCGAGACGCGCGGCTACTACGCGGCCGCGGAGCCGCCCGGCGAGGCGGCCGCCGAGGGCAGGGGCCGCCGCGCGCCCGAGCGCGGCCGCTGGCTCGAGAGGATGAGGAGGACTTTCGAGGAGCCCACGTCCTCCGTGGCCGCGCAGGTGCTGGCCACCGTCTCCATCCTCTTCGTGATCGTGTCCATGGTGGTGCTGTGCGCCAGCACGCTGCCCGAGTGGCGCGCGCCGGAGAACCGCAGCGTGGAGGAGCAGAGCAGGTACACAGCAGAGTCAGTGAGGGAGCCCTCAGGGTAGGAGGATCCTTTATTTTCCCGCTGTGCGCTCCCCGTGTGTCCCGTCCAGTGTGTCCCGCCGCTCGTCGTCATGCTCTGTGGCTGTGGCCGCCCGAAAGGGGCCGGGAGACCTTCAAGCCCGCGCCGAGGAGCCGGGGCGCGGGGACGGGCTGCGCTGGCGCTCCGGAGCCGGGTCCCTCCCGCCTCAGCTGCCCTCGCGGCAGCGGCAGCAGGAGGAAGAGGAGGAGGAGGAGGAAGAGGTTGCCCAGCTGCTGGCTCAGGGGCAGGCAGCGCTGCCCAGGGCGCCTTGCACGCCCGTGGTGGTGTTATGGACAGTTAGGTCTTATAATTGTGGGAAAAGGCAGAATAACACCCTCTCCCCTCTCCCTCACCCGCCAAAAGCAATTCCTCCCTTTCTTAGGTTGGGAAAATCCCACTGCAGTATGTGCTCTACCTGTGTGCATGCTGCCCTGCTCCTGGAGCAGATGCCGTGCATGTTAAAGCTGTGAGCTTGTAAAACCTCACCTACGGCAACAGCCTTTCCCCCAGTCCCAGATTCTCCATGTGGACACGCAGGAGATGATCAAATCGAGGGTTAAGCTCTTGCAAATGGATTATATTGTGCCCCAGTATATAAATGCAACAGATGTTTACATTTGCTTTAGACAAAACACGTCTAAGAACACTAAATGATGTGGAAAACCTCCTGCAGAAAGCAGGCTGTGGGGCTATAAAGCTGCATCTCAAGTCTTATAAGTATGAGCAAACCCTTTTCCATCTTTCTTGTGATCTTTTTATAAGTACATTGGCTCCACTGACTCCAGTGTCATTACTCTCTATTTTCTATTCTCTAGAAAACAAAATCAAGATCACATAAGTGGGATTTCCCTCACAAATAAGACACATAAAAAAAAAAAAAGTAGATGTTTCTTCTAGCTTCTCCCTTCTTTTAAGGAAGTACAATATACAGCAAGAAAAGTTTCCAGCTTCTTTTTCTACTAAGCGGACCCTACAGTGAAATCGCAATCCTGTCATTATGAAATGACCGTCTTTTACCATAGAGTTAATTGGAATGTGATATATTATACCTTAGTAGCCAAATTAATTCCTTGGAAAGTATTTTCATAGTTTCCATTAACTTAATGGAAAACTGCACCTGTAATTCAGACTGTAGCTGAGCCAAAGAATTTACTGTACGAACCAAAAAAAAAAAAAAAAAAAAAAAAAAAAAAAAAAAAAAAAAAAAAAAAAAACCCAGATACAGATTGTGAAGCATTTCACTCCTGATTAGATTCAGATATGTCAAAAGTTGTTTTTTTGGGCTCTTCCAATTAAAAAGTCTTATTTAAGCTTTGCACAGCTGCTTCTGTGTTGCAGCTACTTCAAAGATTTGGGCGATCTTTAAGGCAGAAAATTTCTTAGATGCTGCTAACAGGGAAAGCATAAGCAACAGGACCATTTGTGACTTTGTGTCTTTGCTTATATCTTTGTATTGTGGAAGTTAACTTTTCACTTAGTGGAAGAATCTAACTTGCAGATGGGCAAAACATGCGACAGCCCATTTTCCTTCCATAGTGCCTTTATTTACAAGAACATGTGTGTGCCGATACACACACACACACACACAGAGTTTTATGCATCTGTGTAATTGTATATTATATACCAAGCACTTGAAGGTTAACGTCCTAAGTACTTGTAAAATACACAAGTAGCCAAACACTTCACAGCCCAGTGAATATTTCTGCTTGCAGAAATAACCCCAAGGACTTCTATCAGCGATGGCAGTACTGGCTGTAGACTGTGATATGGAATTACAACAACAACAACAAAGAGCAATAACTTACAGTAAACGTTGCAGTTCAACAGTTGTCCCCATGTCCTTGCAGAAGTTGCTTCAAGGCAAACAGCAAGACAGAGAGGTTCATTTCAGGTGTGATGAGCCATGGACTACTGATAGTGATTTACTAGTGATATGAACATTTTGATAGCAAAACCAAATGTGTTCCTTCCTGCCCACATCTTGTCACCTTCTGAGGTGACCCCATTCTCTTATAGGAGCAACTCCTTTCTTCATCTCATATGCTGTAATGTGACTAAAAAGCCCATTGTATCTAGAAAAAAGAAGACACAGTGTTTTAACAGTGATGTACAGTAAAGTTACAACCGCTTTTGATTATGTCCCATTCTCATTTGACTTCATCTCTTTTTTTTTTAATATCTTCTTTGATTTTGCTTGTATTTATTAAAATTACTTAGGCTTACTTGACAATCAGGTCGTAGGAATCACACAGCAGCATCTGTAATTGAGCACTTTGGCAAAATCACCCATCTTAAGTGGGAATGCTTTTAAAAATCTGGCTACTAGTTACTGTTCAACACTTTGAAGCCAAATTATGCCTTTTGTTTATTAGGCAGAGTTCCTCACTGAAATCAAGAAATTCTATCTAGCATTACAGTAATAATTTTGTCAAGAGAAATTGTGACATTAATGCTATATATGTTTTGACATCCGGCACTGGAACTGCAAGTACAGAGACTTTCTATTATTCTAAAAAGATGTTTTGAAGGCTTTCAGAAGTGAAGATCATAGGACTTATCTAGAACTCCTTAGAACATAAATTTTGGATACATTTGGCTTATCAGATCAAAATAAGAGATACTGAAAGATGGAGTTGTTGGATAGGAATTATTTCAAGAAAACCAGCAACTCTGAAATCTGCTCCGATATTTTTAGTTTCTCACGTTCACTAATAAGAAAGCAAACCAACAACAAAAAGTAAAACCCTGCCCTTTCCTCAATATTGTGTTACATTACTTAAGGCTTGGAGAGATGCCACAGTGCTGATTTTTGTGGCTGCACTGTGGTGACCATCCACAGAACCACTGTGGGTAGCTGCAGGGAAAGCGGCTCTAGCAGCGTCTCCACCTTGTCGCAGCATCATCTTTAGGTGGGACAAAGTAACTGTGACTTAGTATGGCAGCCTCTTTAATGAGGTTAGAAATAAGGGTTACTACTGTTATCAGCTGGTATCAGCTACGTTTATTTTTCTTATGAGAACACCTCGTCACTAGAAATCTACACCAAACTATCTCTGATCTTCCTAAGAAACTGTTACAGTGTTATGATTCTTCACTGTGACCAAGCAAGTAAAGGGTGAACAGTCTTTAAGACTATTTGTGATCCTCTGGAGTAACACCCTTGAGAGGGCAACAGAGAACTCCACGAGTGAGACTTCTTAAGGAGAAAGGGATGGAGAATCTGAATTTCACAGTTACCAGAGACACGGACAGAATGTAATGCCCTGGTTTGCAGAGGGATTGCTTTCCCCAGGACCAGTCTCAGAATGAGGGATGAAAATGACATTTTAATGAATTATTAAAAAGACTTAAAAAAAAGAAAAAAGAAAAAAAGATTTTGCTCTCTTCCCTGCCTTGGCATGTTTCACTTCTCGGAGCTGAGGATTCGCATCAGATTAGCACAGTTTAGGAGCAGACAGCAGGGACACCTGTCTCCCCTTCTGTTGCTTTTGGCAATTCCAAGTCATCTTTGCTCTCTCTGAACTGTGCCAGCAGATGCAACCGAGAGCCTCTCATCAGGGACCTGTCTATAAACTCATGATAAGCATGATCTTTCGGGGAGGTTCTTGAGCAAGCCATTTGAAGCCATTTGACTTAAAGCCAGCATTATGTTGTATTTTTTTATTTTTCTAATGCTAAATACAAATAGCTTGTTAGCACGAGAAAGAGACTGTTGTCCCTTTTCCACTTACTGAATCATGATTAAATCTGTATTGAAAGAATCCCTCAGTTATCAAACATATTACTGCTATGTTCTTAAGCAAAAGCATATAAACACTTAACTCTTCCAAAAGGCATCTCTAAACAGCTACCAGTGGGATTTTGTCATCTCTGCAAAATACCATTTTTAAAGGTTACATTTAGGTTTCAGAGGCACAAAAATCATTATACTTTGAACTCTGTGGAACTTCAGAAAACCAAATATTCGTGCCCGACATCTGTTTAGAACATCCTACTCCTTCCTTGAATGAGATCTAACTCAAAAACTTAACACTAAATTCTGAAAGAATGAAGATGGAAGACATCTAAATTAAAATCACTATGTAGACTTTTCTGATGGATTTTGAGATGCTCAAAATTGTGGTAGAGATGTTTTGAGATAGAAGTAACACAAAGAATGGACCCGTATCACTTCCCGGACACAGGAGAACCGTGAAGAGCTCATCAGGGTTAGGTGCCAGACAAACGCTCAAGGAGGGTACAAAAGAGGCTAAAGACCCCAGAGTTTGGATGTTCATGCCCAGAAATCATCTGAAGGATGTGAAAGATATTTGGCTCTTCCCCTAGAGGTGCTGAGACAGATTTCATTATGTCCTCTGGTATAAAGGCATGTACCAGTTTCATGCACCGAGATGTATTATTACTACCAAATCAAGGACAGAACAGAAAAATGCCAGGAAAGCTTTTAATGCCAAAAAGCTGTTTGCGTTATGGCTCTTATTCTGCAGTTTCCCCAGTAGCCAGGCAGAAATTCCGTTGTTTTTAGAAGGATTGAAAAGCAATATTTGCTGAAATGACTCGGACTCTTCCTGAGCAGGATAGCTATTGTTCGGACATTTTTCTGTTTTAATGTGCTTTACATGGAAATAGATTTTAGCAACAATTTAACTAAGCAGTGTCGGCAGAGTTTAATCTTTAATCCTGTCATATTGTCTCTTCAATCATGTCATCCGTTTTCCTTGTGTCCTGTAGATGTGTATGTTTTATTTACAAGTTTAATTGCTAATAGTGCTGCTAATGAATATTTTGGGGAGGTTTCAGCCAACTCACCAGAAGAGACTAAAAGCATAAATTTGGCACTTCGAGGTGAAGATTAATGCTAAGTCAAAATACTTTAAGGCATCCACAATATCATTCTTTTTGTGTAACAAGCTAGTCCTGCTAATGATTGAAACATTTCTGGAAAAAGTTTAACTCAGTAAATATGCATGTAAAATAGCTTACTTTGAAAGGAGGTTATCAGATGGAATAAAATTAAACAGTGACTGGATTACAGAAGAAAGGAGGCTCACAATGGCTTGAATTTCAGTTCATGGACAAAGCAATGATGAAAATCATGATTAAAGCAATCATGAAAAGCCGTTAACTACCAAGAGGCTTAAAATTTAAGGGAAAAATAATCAGTCCTGTGCTTAGATCTGGGACGATGAAGATCACACAAACCGTAAGTATAAGCAGAAATAACAGCTATCAAACAAAAATTAAGACCTAGTATTTCCTCTGTTTATTCATTAATTTTACAGGGATCTTTGAGGAAACAGTTCATGGGTCTGTTTCTGCCTCCTCTCTCCCTTTTGAATAGCAGCTGTTTTAAAATTAAATTGATGCGGCAAAAAAACCAAAATCTATGACAGAAGTTTGTAAAATAGGTACTACAGTTTACCTTCCATTATAAGGCGTATGAGTTATATAGCTCCAGATTTTTAAACTGCATATTATTTCAGTAATAGGCAATAACAGGCAGTCTGTCATTTGAATATGCAACAAATATTTTAAGAACTGATTACAGAAGAAATACTAACTTTAGTCTTCCAAGTGAATGCATTTTAGCTACCTTTACTTCATATTAAATTAAGTTCTCTTAAGGAGTAACCATTAATTTTGGTTTCCTAATTAGATGTTATTTATCTATTAACAAGTATGTAAGTTAGTGATAAAGGTAAGTCAGCTTAAGACAGAGAGAAACTTAATCTGAATGCGGAAACCTAATACACAGCGCTCTCATTTTCACAAGAGGCAGAGGTTTCCAGTTCCACCTGGAGAGCACTTACTCACTTTGATGTGATGGAGCAGGACTGCTGAAATCCATTTATAAAGGCAAAGCAGAGTAAAAAGAGGAGGAGTCAAACTGATCCACACCTGGAAAGAAGTAGGGAGAGGGAAGTGGGGGGGGGGGGGGGGAAAGAGATGCTTTTTCATCATCTTTTCCCTAGCCAGGATGGTAGAGATGGTTAGGTAAACCAGGGATAAATGGAACTGCAAAATATAATGGAATGGAGATGATGCATTTCACACTGTCTTGATCTTCTTTATCATTTTTATAGCAGTGATGCTCCTTAGGTCTCTTGCAGTCTGTTCTACAACAAATGGATCTCCAGCCCTTCCTAACGCAGTATAATTGGTTTACAGTATCTCTTCAGCTAAAAACTGCCAGTAGTAGAACTCCAGAGTAAAACAATGAATTGATCACATTTCCTGTAATATTGACTTCCACTGGCAAAATTATTCCCCAAAGTTATAGCAGACCAATACTGATTCGCAGATAAGACTCCAACTGAGTGACCGATGTGGGCCAAACTTCATTACAGCTTGACTCAGGGATGACCTGCTTAATTTGTAATCATGGAGTAATCATATCTTCAGTGTCCTCCTCCATAGAAGGAACTACTAAGTGAAACACCCTTCATTTGTAAAATTAAGAATAGCTTTTTTTTCCTTTCATAGGGCATAGGCAGAACTACCAGATTAATATCATAAAGTATAATGGAATAGAGTCTACTGGACTGTAGAATATTCCTAGCTACAACTTTATAACCAGCTACATTTTTTTTCCTCAAGTATTATATGAGATCCCAATTAGTTAATAACCTGTAAGTACTTCAGACTTTATCATTAGTGTGATCTGGCTGTTTTTTATATTTTTCTTTTTTTTTGTGTGTGTATGTTTTATCATGGGTATAATAAGGATGAGAGAGAATATACTGTATTTGGAAGAAAATATTTCAACATGAAGGAATAACAAATTAAAATGTTATCTGTATTTATACAAAAAGTTTCATATAACAAAGTAAATTAGCATTTTGATTTGATTACATTATTAACCAAATATTTTTTTAAAGAAATCAAATCAGCAGCTGAGGCATCACTCTCATGTTTAAAGGAAGCACCAATATTTTCAAAAGCTTAATTTTTAAGAGAACAATTTGTAAGAGAAAACTCTTTTCATATTAATAGCTCTTTACATTATTTCTAAAAAGTTAATTTGTGGTCATTTAAATTTGCTATGTTTGGAATTAGATATAAGTTCTGAATATGGCAACAGTAAGTTACTGTATCCTCCATTTTTAGCATAAAACTAAAGTATATATTATGAATTAAAAATGTTACATTTTAATTTATGAAACTCCCATAAATGTTAGTTTCTGAAGTTTATTAGTATTAGTTATGAAAGAATATTGTCTTCCTAATGTTTTCAATGACATTTAGGTAATGACTTAGTTATTGTTACTACAGAGAGTACCTTGCTAGGGTCTCCTGCAGTAACGGAAACTCTGGTTTCATTGAGTATTTTCAAATCTGGAATGTCACATCAGTTGCAGACCTGTTGGTAGGAGATGACACTGGTGATTTGTTTTTATCTTAAATGTTTGTGAAATGAGATAAGCAAACAAAGCAAGAGGGGAAATACTCGCTCTAATCCTCTCCTTTAGTAAACAAGTGAGCACAGTTGGAATTCTTAAGAAAAGAGTAATTTTCAGATCTGTGATTGGACACTTGCTACACAAAGTGTCTCACTTTCTACCTTTCAAGTGAGAGAGCGTTCTCAAACCTCATTCACTGCAATGGAATCTTAAAATACACAAGAACATACTGAATTTTCCTTCTTAGACAGCAATGTTTTATTTTATCAAGACCATTATTTGTACTTGGCAAGGAGATGGTCTTGCTTATTGCTCTGGTTACCTTGACATTTTTGCTACAACACAGCTTAGGTGGAATTACATTTAAAACAAAAAGATTTCAACTAGTACAGAGTAAAGCATGTACCCCCGGTAAAGAATTAAAATGCTGGTTGTATTTATTGGCTACCCCTACAAAATTCTGCATCTAGGCTCTAGGTAAGTTCCTGTTTAGGATGCAAGTAAGATGGACTGATTGTGAAGACGCAGTCTGCACAGGTGATCTAATTCAAAAGCAGATTTCCACCTACTCCATCTTCACTTTTCTTCAGTCAAGTACACTGCTGGCAGTAATCAGGCAGTTCACTGAGCTGCAGTCCTTGACTTCTTAGCATGGATCAAGGCCTCCCTGATAAAGAAAAAAAAAATCTAGATTATGCTAGGCATGTTAATGGCCATTCCAGATTTCTTAGGAAAATTTGCACAGTACCAGAATTAACAGCAATATATAATTCTTAGAAGATGATCCATAAGCAAGTTCTTAGCAGATAGGATTTTAAGATTCTCAGTAAATCTGCAAATTACTTGTGGAAACTTGGTGCTACATGCTCAGCATATGAATAGTGTGGCTTTCTGTTTGTTGTCTGTGAAGGTCTGAATGTCAATTTGGTAATGTCCGTGAACAAACCCAACATCCACTGAAGCATTCTCGCAGACCATAAATACTGTGCTTTGTTTCTTTTGACAGGATAATTGAAGCTATCTGCATAGGCTGGTTCACGGCAGAGTGCATTGTGAGGTTCATCGTCTCCAAAAACAAGTGTGAGTTTGTCAGAAGACCTCTCAACATCATTGATTTACTGGCAATTACTCCCTACTACATCTCTGTCCTAATGACAGTTTTTACCGGGGAAAATTCGCAGCTTCAGAGGGCTGGAGTCACCTTGAGGGTCTTAAGAATGATGAGGATTTTCTGGGTGATTAAACTTGCTCGTCATTTCATTGGCCTTCAAACACTTGGTCTGACTCTGAAGCGCTGTTACAGAGAGATGGTGATGCTGCTTGTCTTTATCTGTGTTGCCATGGCAATTTTCAGTGCACTTTCTCAGCTTCTTGAAAATGGGCTGGACCTGGGAACAAAGAATAAGGATTATGCCAGTATCCCTGCTGCTTGTTGGTGGGTGATCATCTCGATGACCACAGTTGGTTATGGTGACATGTGTCCCATCACTGTACCTGGAAGGATTCTTGGAGGCATTTGTGTGGTTAGTGGCATTGTTTTATTAGCCTTGCCAATTACTTTCATTTATCATAGCTTTGTGCAATGTTATCATGAGCTCAAATTCCGGTCTGCTAGGTACAGTAGAAGCCTCTCTGCCGAGTTCTTAAATTGACCAAATTTGTTACTTGCTAAGCTTTGTCTTAGAAGAGAACGGTGGAAAATCCCCTCATGTGTCCTTGACTGGATAGTCCTATGGAACATTCTCACCAGCCTGGAGAAAGCGCGTCACTATTCAGACAGGAGGGATGCCCACATGGCTTGGACACCTTGTAGGGAGAGGCAGGGATGTCTGACACCTGAGAGAACGAAATAACAAAAGGGGACTTCAGAGTCCTCAGCCAGGCCCGTGTGGTCTTCAGTTTGCCTTTCCACACAAAAACAGAACAAAAATGGGCTTAATACTAAGGTTCATCATTCCCATAAAAATATTACATGCCATGCTAAGCAATGTGTAGCAGAAATTTTAAATCCAAGTGCCCCTTGAAGGCATTTAAGGCCTACTTGACCGAAGTATCTCAATTTTTCACACAGATAGGCCAATCAGATATTAAAGAAGAGTTGCTACTCCTTTTGAGCCTCACAACAGAGTAGTTCAGGTTCCGCAACTTAAAGATGAAGAATATAAGTCTGCAGGGGAAAAAAAAAAGAGAAGAAATCCAAGGGACTGATTGTGATCTTTGATGAAGAACACAAACCTTCAGTAAAAATCAGTGGCAGTGGAATAATCTAAATGAGTACATGCATCTCAGAATGCTGTAGCACATACTATATTGGTCACAAGCTCTGAAACAACCTCTTTATCAAAGACTGCCTTTACCAAGATCAGCATAAAAAATCAGGCATTGATATAATTTTTGGTAGCTTACTAGAGCAGCTATCCAAATTTTATTTACATTTTCACTTGAACCGCATCCACCAGAAGATATTTATCAATAAGCATAGTTTTTTTTTCCCATTTAATTAACTACACATAGTATAGTGTATTTTCTCAAAGAGAGTTTTACAGTTCCATTACTTGAAACAGTCTGGACAAAGCACTAGAAGACAATAGCTACCCCTTATTAGATGATATTCTTCATCACCATCAACTTCTGTGATTCTTATTCAACAATACACTAACTTAATTGAAGTTTTAAAAACAACTGTAAAAAGCCCAAATAATATTGAAGAAAGCAAAACAAAATGGGAGTTGCACTTGGTAAAACAGTATATTCTCCAATGTAACTAGAAAATTAAAATGAATCAAGTTAGGTTCTGAAATACTGTACACTACATTTCTTGTGTAGTACTGCTTTAGTAGCATTGTTCAGTATAATTCTGAAAGGCTGTCATGTAAAACTGTGCAGTTAAACATTAAAACACATTTAGGTACAGCTTTACAAATTTAGGTACCAATAAACATCAGCAAGGAGCTTTCCTATGAATAGGGAAGCTCACAGTCATCAGCATAGTTGAATTTGGTGTGCTTGCCTGAAAATATGCGAAGTATTTACTATTACTGTACTGCAGAAGTATCTTTTATATACGTATTTGTTAACAGCTTTAGAACTAAAATGACAACCACCTAGAGAACACATCTCAAACTGCTCACTTGGATTAAAGTACCAGATGAGTGAGTAACCAGGACATTGAAGACTCTACTATGAAAAAAGCACTTAAGACATGAAAAATTCATTAGCATTTTAAGTAGTCTTAGTCTTAAGCACTCTTAAAGAAAAATAATAGCAGTCTTAAAGAAAAAATATTATATTACAAATGGCTTCTGAAGACTTGGAAATTATTTAATAGCCTCCCTACTGGCAAGCCTTTTCAAAGAACGCAATTTTAAGTAATGTTACAGACATACCTCTGTTTCTGGCCACTGACATGTACATGAACATGTCACTGACATGCTCAGAAGGTCAGCTCTATACTTCCCTAGACAGCTACAGCTATTCCTTTTATTTCAGAATTATGTAGTTGAAAAAACCTGCTCTTGCATTTCACAGAGCAGGGAATATCCGTTAAGCAAAAATTTCTCAGGTCAGAGTCACAGCTGATGTTAGTTAGACAAGTATTGACTTGAGAGACACTTAGATGAGTTCTGCCAGCTGAGATGCTGGCTCTGTATTCCTGCATGTGTGGCTAACTATATATATCCTTCTTATATATTACAGTCAGTTGAAATGTTTCTTCCTCCTCAAAAAATACTCCTCCTTGACAAAATTGAAATTTCAGACTTGAATCCAAGAGCAGATGTTGAAGAAAGTAACATATTCATCTTCTGATGAAAAGTTCATTCTGACAGTATCAAAAAATACCCAGTTTTCAGGAAGGAAATGCCCACCTTATGTATCCCTTCAGCTTATTTTTGACATTAAAAAAACACCCACATGTAAGAACTTACCTGCCAGATTTTCATATGCTGTTTTTCAGGTATTATTTGCTTCGGAAAAATATTATTTCCATACAACCCTGAAAACTTACTTGGTCTTTTGTCCATGTGTTGTATTTAACCAAATGAATACTCAACGTTGCAGCTGCTCCCCTTCCTCCCCACCAAAAAAGCCACTCCCAAAACTATCATCATCATGGCTGTAGTTTGAAATGCCTAAGGAATGTGTATATACTTTAAAGTATGCTGCTATCTTGATTTCAAGACAAAGTAATATGCATTTTAGCACTAATTATAAAGCTAAATTTTAGCTGTCAGTACAAAAGGAAAACACAGATTAATGCACATAACTTGTGAATACCAATTTACATCATGAATCATTTTGTATAAGCAATTAAGGACAGGAAGTTTTCAAAGACGAACAGATCCAGATTATATCTGGTATAAGAACAAAATGTTTGATGCTTTATAAAGTGTTTGCCAGCTACAGAATCCCTTACCCAGGATAAAAAGGTTACCTACTGAAAATAATTATGTAAAGGTCTGTGGAGTTCTAAGTCATTTTAAATAACTAATGTTCGATTTTTGTATGGCAGACTGTAGACAAAATGACCTTATGTATTTTAAATTTGAGGTATAATAAAATATTATTTTGAAACTTGCCCTCTGTAAGCCTCCTATGGAAAGATATTAACTTTTTTTTTTTTTTTTTTAATTTTGTGTAGGATGGCAATCAGTGTGTTGACTTTGGGTTTCCTGAGAAACCAAGTTGAAGAAGCCTAATCTCAAAGGTAGCCTTAAAACAAGAGCTCTATAGTAAATAAACAGGCTTCCTGACTCGTACTAATATTTGTCTTCTTATTTTCAATGGATCGGTGACTCTGATGAAGCCTAAAAAAAATACTGAATTATACAGGAGGACAAAAATAAGCATATCTTTAAGTGGATAAAACAGTTTTAATAAAGTATACCACAGGCTTTGTTTTATGCAGATATGGGGTACAGCATGCTCTGTGTCTGAATACAGTATTTTAAAAGCCAAAGCAAGACAAGTTGTCTCATTTATAGTAACTGACAATTTGACCCCTATACTATTTTTTCTTCATGGAAGATACCTCTTTCAATATATGAAGTATCTGCAGTTTAAGTAGATGGAATATAAAAAACTGGATATGTGAAGATAGTGTAAGTAATTGTGAACCAGCTTTTCTCTTCATCTAAAATGAAACAAATTCTTATGAGTTTTGAACTGCAATTACAGTTCTTGATAACAACAGTTAATCATACACTGTATAGTAAGTTCAACTCTTAGGGCTGATCTACTGTGTATTACACTGTATAACTGTATATTGACTGCAGTCCTTTAAGGTACTGCCACTTGGAAACATTTGATCTTCTGCCAAATCACTGGGATTGAGAGGTATCCACAATCCATTTTCCTTCCACAGTTTTCCATCAAGCCAGTAGATACACCAAAAATAAAAAATACAAAGTATGGAAGGTTATCATCTCTTTTGATACAAGGCTATAATAGCTGCAATAAAAGGTAGAGTATCATCTTTATGAACACGTCCCCCCCCAGAAAAAAGATTTTGGTGAACTGGTGATTTTAAATAGTTTATCAACATGAGGGCCAGCCATTTAACATGGGATATTAACCCCTGCTGTACAATGGCTGATCCATGTATACATAGCAACAAGTCTAAAGAGGATAAAAATTCTTGTCATGTGAAATTCATACCTTGATACCCTTATATTTAAGGGAAAAGGTCTGCATTTTCATCATACGTAAGAAATTACTGCCTATAAGGGATCAGTCTTCAGCTTTTGTAGCATTTAGCTTTCAAGTTTACAAAATATGATTGAAGTCCTGTGGGTGCAAAAAACTCTCATCTCTGCCCCTCTGAGTAGTAACCAAAAAATCTTTTGATACTGGAGTGTTGGGCTGGAAATGATCATGTGTGCACTAAAAACCATTAGTCACAGAGCAAGATTCTTATGAATGGGTCACCAATAAAATGTATATGGTCTGCCAAATTCACAATTTTCTCTCACAGAAAAGGAAATTTTTGTTATTTGAAGTACCTTGAAAATTTTAGTGTTTATCCCTTCAAATGTACTTTTGAGGAAGCATTTGCAGAAAACTTACCTAAACTGTGCACAGCAAAATCATGTTGCTTTGATAAGATTTTTAAATCATGATTTTACAAAAGAAAGCTGCTTCATATTTTATCCTGTTTACTTGTTTATAAAAGTGAACACACATATCAGGATATACATTAGTTCTTGCTCCATAAAAAAGATCCCTGTAAATATAAGGAAGCATAGAAAGACAGACAGGTGTTTTAACAGGAGCTTTAACAGTTTTGCCCAACACATATGGAGCAATAAAATGCTTGCTTTATAGTTAAAAACTAATATACTATATGCCTGAGAAATGCAATTCAAGGTAGGGAATATCTTTTGCAAGTGACGTAAGTTAACCACCGTGAAGACTGCAATGAGCAACCAACTGACAATCTGTTTTGACGCGAAATTTTAATAATAATACTAATAGTATAAATCTTTGGTCAGATTAATAAAATATGAACGTTTGCAACTAGAGCTTTTTAGACTCCTTTGTTCTTTATAAACTCAAAAGTTTAACATTTTATAGAATGTTAATTTTATATATTGTTTGCATATCTGTAGAGAAATGTGTATAATATCATTTGGAAAAGTAATAAATATATACTACTGATGTGGATACAGTGCTAGATATATAAAATTATGAAATAAAATTTCCTGGCCTTCTTGATACACTTCACAGAGCGGAGATTAAAACAGATTCCAGTGGTACCAAAGGCTCCTTTTTTAACAAAGGAGCTCTTCACAGTGGTGTTGTATCTTGGCAGGTAATAGAAGAATAACAGAAGTAGAAAAATAACATTTGCATGTGTCTGTAATGTTTTAATGCTGCTGTTACACTCCAGATACTATCCACACTGTTCTCAGTTGAATAATAACCCTGGATACATAGAACATCAAAAATGTAAAGATTCTTGATGTCCCAAAGAGCATTTTAAAACTAAAATACTAAATAGATTCATTAAATTTTAAAAATCAGAAAGTTAAAAATCAAAATTCTTTCCCTTGTATCCCAGGAATCTCTGAAACCAGTTTTATTCCTAAATTTCACTGCTATTTTACCAATATTGAAGTAGGAACTGGGAATTATAATGGAGGCCTCTTATTGTATTCTATCTCTATAGCACTCAATCAAAATGACTATACTACTCAAAAACCCAGATAGCTAAGACTGAAGCATAAATCAAAAGACTTATACAGCCAAAAAGGGGTGTGTGGGGGGGGGGGGGGGGGGGGGTCCAAGGAGGGGACCAAGAAAACACACGGCATTTTTGTAGAATTAATGCGGCTAATTTGTTGAGTCTGAGATGAGTTTTTAAAGTACGAAGTATTTAAACACAAGCTGTTTCTGCTACTTTTATTTATTTTAGAGCTGCTCACACAGAATGCAGTATATTTATACGATAACCTATTCTACATTGCTAAAGGCCATGTCATATGTAGAGGCCAAGACAACACAGGTTCCAGGCATGATTTCTGCTGCTAGGTTTAATTAGTATGTGAAGCTGAAGTCAGCTGAGGGATATGATGGGAAACCATGTGAAATTGGGGCATATGTTAAAATGCCATCTTTAAGAATACCTTGGTCACAGACCCACACTAGATGCTATTTAAGTATAAAAGAGAAAAACATTCTCAAAGTGTGCTCCTTAAGTACAGCCATGCAGAGGCCCACTCAAAAGGGAAGCACGAGTAATCTAAAAAAGAAATTCAATACAAAAGTCAAATCTAGAAGTGCTTTGGTAATATGAATTTACCCACTGCTACTTACATCTTTCCCGAAAGCCTATTTTGTTTCTCAGCAGTGAAAAGCAGAATGAAGGTATCCATTAACCTTCAAAAAAGCATTAGTTACAATAGAAAATAAAGAGAAACGCTGCATAAAACTCTTAGAAAAAGAACTAGTTTCACTGAAAACAAACTTACTTATAGATACTAAAAATACAGTGCAATGCACAGTTAAGAATGAATCACAAGCTTGCCTACTTCATGCTAAGATTTTGTTGTATCCTTGGAAATAGGAGAATATTTGTCACTGGAATATATGAACAGAATCAGAAACCTTTCACCCACAGCTTTATCCTTTGTTCTCTCAGTTGCACAGGTCCCCCCCCGCTCCAAAATGAATGTATAATCCTTACCTAGGAGTTGTGCTCTTCATGCTTCATGTTTATTTACAGCTCCAATTTTCTGAGATACCTGAATGGTTGATTGATCTTCCTTCTTCTCTCATTCTTTCAAGTAAGGGACACGAGCTGATCTGCTGTCCAATTTTTGAGGGACTTACTATGGTAAGATCGTATTGTTCCTTTCTTCTTTTCACGCATTGTATCTCAGTAGCACTGAGATGGACAAACATATTTAGGTACCTAACATAACATGTTTGACACACAGTCTTTCCAGCTACCTTAGATTCCTGCCAAAGATGCTAGATTATAATCCTCAAATCAATACTGACTCCTTGAGCATTTCTGCCTTTGGTGCAGTGTATTTGGGATGTGTCAGGCTTTTGAAGATCACAACAACTTTTTGATCTTCTTTGCTACAAGAAGCTTAAAAATAAGTTATGTTTTAAGACAAAATCTTCTTAAAGGGAGCCAGGTAACCAGTACTGAATTAAATCCAGCTTTGATAGAAAATTCTATTTGTCAT